AGTATGATCTCAACCAACTTCCCAAAGGTATCAGGGATGTGTTTCATCATCTGGATAAGAGCCATTCCATCCAATATCAAAGCATTATTAGATGGTACATGTTCGATTGCTGGATCTTCTACACGACTCTCGAGAACATGCATTAACTTGGATTTGGGTGTTTTGACAAGCTTTCCATCAACAGTTGCAATAGGTGATGGGAATTTTCGAAGACTATAGGTGAGAACGTCTTTCATGTCAATGTTTCTTGATTTGCCCACTGCAAGCAACCGTGATACAAACTTAAGGTCATTCTTCAACTCAACAATTTGTCCTTTACTGGTCTTTACTTTAGTTTTTCTTTCCATTGTTGAGAATGTGTTCAGCTTTGTTGCTTTAAGCGTTGCAAACAGATCTGGTTCACTTGTTAATAACTGTTCTGACATAAAGGTCTTACATTTCTGTTCTCCTATATCTTTTGCCGAGATCATGTCATTCGAAACATTTGCAGGAGCCACCTTTCCACTGGCGATATTAACCATGCTGTCTTCTACTTCAAAAGGATTGCTCATGTTCGTGATAACTTCCACAACATTTGCCACTTCATGTTCATGGTACTTAATTTGTGTCTCATCCATGTCTTTACGTGATCTGCAATGGAAAATTAAACCTATAAGCAACCAGTTATAACATAAAAATCCAGTGTTTTCCAGGATTACCAGCGGCCATAAAAATCCTTAGCTGACTGTATAGTATACCTGTATACTTAGCAAATCTATTGTCTGTAATCTGTTTTGATGTAAAAAACATGGGGTCATGTAATCTACTGTACAATATTTTTAAAATGGTGGGCAAGTGAAGCTTTGTATTGTCCAAAATGTCAAAGTACAGCAATGCAGCATTTTTACATTTTAAGACAAACTAGTTACCTGGTATGTGATGAATTATCTGCCATTGTGAGACACTGTCTTGTTATGGCACCACGGTCAGCCTGTGACATTATCCATCTGTGCACTGCACCCCGATTCAGAGTAAATCCAACCAAACCGCCTCTCACGTTTGAATCACGATTATAGGTCTGTTCCATCACCTGGTCACATGCAGTTGACGAAAAATCATGTGTTGTCTGACGCTGACATGTCCAGTTTTTTATAATATCATCGGTCACCCCTAAAAAATTGGTCAGAAAACTACCTTTCAAACATTGGAAAAAATTGCTCCAAACATCGAGGGTTTACATTTTACTGCAGCACCTTTGATAACAATCTAAAATACAGTATATGTCTTACCTGGATGTGATGTTTCAATACATAGCATTTCCAACCAGTATGCTGTACCATATCTAGCATAGTGAACTCTGTCAGTTGCGAAAAACCATGGTAGCATTGATCTAACTGCTGAGAGATGTAGATCCCAGTCGTTTTCTCTTGTTGCTCGTAAGAACATTAAAAGAACTTCTACCATTTGAATGTAATTAAGCCAGAGAGCAAATGTTGGTTTTTTCTCCGCCTCTGATTTAGAAAACATGGCAACAGCCATCTCCAGTTTTCCAAAATTCTCTGACATCACTTGTGGTAGGTAATCTTCACTTGGGAATGTCTCAGCTAAGTTTTCTGTAATGCAAAATGAATATTTATATTTACAGTTCGAAGGCACCTAATTCCTATTTGAGCAATGTTATTTAGTTTGAGATTACAAATCATTAATAATTGATGAGCAATTCAGCCAATGGCAATGATAATCACGTATTTGTTTGATCACAAGATTATGAAATGTCATTTAGATAACCTGGTGAAACTTGATGAAAGTCACTAGTGTTTTCATCAAATATCTTAATTACGCATGCAAAATTACTGGAATAGAATTACTAATGCTTGGTTAATAATTTTATTCAAATCAGCAAGCGAAAACATTCTGTTACATCTCAACTCATTTCATTTGAGAAGCCATATAAACAATTCGAGCTTGTGTCCCACCTGTGTCCCATCCAAACACTCGAAAACAATTAACAAAAACACTCGCCCTAGGCGTTCTGGTTTTCACACATTGTTTTCTCGTGTTTGGATATCCTGGTGAAACAATCGCTCTTGTTGTTCATACGTATTTTACATCAAACATAAACATTAAAAATTAAAAGGCAAAGTAATTTGACATTGTTTTAAAACTTCCTCACTGTATGAATAAACATCTAAATTTGAAACTCACCAATCAAAGTAACTGTTTCATCCCTTTCAGCTGGTGTAAGTGACTCAAGGTATTGCTGAAACAACAGTCTGACCAATGCCTCGTAGACAACTTTGTGTGACCTAACACTTCTGTTGTAATGCTTGCCAGACATTACTCCATTAATGGATCCAGCTGCTACAACTTCAGACTCAATGAGAATGTCCTATTAAAGAATGATTGATAATTTAACCCATTGAGTGGCAGCACTCTCCACTTGACAAATAAGATCGTCTGGCATTAGACAGAGTAAAATACTAGCTAAAGCAGGGCGCATTAGGGTGCATTGCCACTTAGAGGGCTAACATTATTTTTTGGTCAGCCCTACTTGGAAAAAATAAAGATATCAAAAATACTATACCTGTAATCCAGCATCTTTGAAGAATTTTGATATAGCTCCACAGAATGACATTGCCATGTGGAAATCTCCAAGTCGGACAACAAATCGGCTGAGGTATCTTTCTTCCTTCCATCTTATTTGTTGAATTTTGGCATAAATGGCCTCATCAAAAACCAAGCACATATACTTTAAGTCCAGTTTGTTGGCAATTTCCTCGTTCCGATTCAATATTTCGTTTACTGTTGACAGTTCTGTAGGGGAAGCATCAATTACAGGTAGATACCCAAGTTTTGACTGGGTAGGTATGTTTCTATTGACAGCTAGTCTGGTGTTAAATCCTGTCCAATTTGGAATTGCACTGCTCCTACCAAGATATCTACATAGACAGAATGCAAGGTCTTTCTTCTTAGCATCAATCTGAGGTAATATATGATGTTCTTCCTCGATTTCCTTATTTTGCATGGCATCGTTTAAATTAACAGTTTTTCTTTTTCGAAGAAAATAAGGATTAATGTCTTTTGATGGTGCTAGGAGGGATCTTGACCTGGGAATGCCTGGGAATGCTATATCGTCTCTGTAACAAAGTACTTGTACTTTGCTCCCTTTGAATGATAATGCCCCCGGTTATGTGAGTTGTCCCTTTGCCAGAACTAGTTTCTTCTGAGAAATCATCATTATCCCATGCAAGAGTAGTTGGAACATCACTAACAAAGCCTGGAGGAATAGCAGAATCATTGGATATATTCATCTGTGCAAGGGCAGTCTCATGGCACAATACAAAGGAGTGTGACATGCAATGTCCCAAGCCACTCAACCAAGAAATTACTGAGGCTGAACCTGTCAGTTGTCTAGTTGCCATGGCAAGTGCTATGCTCTTGGGTGTAGGATTCCTTCCGCCAGATGCTAGATTCACAAGGTCTTGTGCGATTGATGTTAGTTTGGCACTGTTCTTGCCCTCGATTGGCACATACTCATTTAAAGTTGGCTCTGAAGAGAATCCACAAATCCAAGCCAATACATTAAAAAGTTCACATGGAACAACTTTTCGCACATTATCCATTGTCAAATCAGATGCCAATGGTGGCCAAGGAAGATTCAGTTTTGGTATTTCTTGCACCTTTTGGCGAAGAATCAATGCAGCATTGTATAGAATTTGTAACTCGTTGACTTTAGAATTTCCCTCAGTTTCCGTGTTGGAATTCAGATCATCATCATCAATGGTACAGCTCTCTACATCAAAGTCCTCATCGTTGTTTTCAGACTTAATTGACATATGTTCCTCAACCAATTCAGAAGAATCCAAATTTTCCACATATACAATCTCACTAACATTTCTCATTTTCGGTACACAGAACACAAGTTGGGGATGACTTTTCATCAGTCGTAGCTTGAGTTTAAAAGCTCTATATTTAGATGCATCCACATTCTCAGTGTCCTTAGCAATGATAACAAATTTCTCCAGCAAATCTTTCATATACTTTATTTGCTTATTTCCGATGACCTCCGTCTCGATTACTTTCTTACAGAATACATCATAAGACTCGTACACTGATGTAGATCTTTCAGTCTCCGATTGCTTCTTCGTCTCTCTGGTGAGAAATTTTGTATAATTGCAGTAGCAAACTTTGTGATAGCGGACTTCCAGAGCTACACAGTCTTTCTCCCGGATTTGCACGAGTATCCGTTCATCATTCTTTCTCTCAGCAGCTGTACGTAGAAGACCAGCATCAATTGTTTCTGCCAACATGAGTGGGGTTCTTCTTCTCTTCTTAGTTACCTGGTGTGAAACAAAATTATTAAACTAAATATCTGCTAATAACAAGGTTGGATGTTTGTAGCATAGAAACTACTTTACCCTAAATAAACTTAATTGATCACAATTCAATATATTTTAAAACCAAACCTGAGAATGTTGTGCACATTGCGCTAGTATTATACCTATCAAAATGACCATACCTTGTCTAGTGGCGTCTCTTCCACAAATAATACATATCTCTGGGAGTACATGCGCGTTTCGTTTAGGCAGGGCCTTATTTATAGCTTCTGCGACTGATTGACGTGTAATTTTTCGCCTTGGTTCTATTGGCTCCACTTCCACGTGTGATTCTTCGGTAGAAGTTACAGTTTTAGAGCTAGTTCCTTCTCCTTTTTCTTCTTTTCTCTGTTGTCTACGGATCTTCTCTTCATCACAAAATCTCTTCCAGCATTTCATATGATGGTACCATTCTAAGTTAATGCTGTCCGGGTTCTTCTCCATGTATGAATTGACAGACCCGTCATGGATGTTCTCGTACGATTTCTTAGCTATTTCAGCTTGTTGACATTTAAGTTTGGCCCATTTTGACCTACACTCAAGAAATTTCTTAAGCCTTTGGCGTGTAACTTTGCAAAGTTGCTCCGTAACGCCATCAAAATGCATAAAACATGAGGATATTCGAGTTTTATAAATATCTTCAGCCATGTTTATTTGCATAACTGAGCGTGTTTCCACTTCGAAGCATGTGCGTTGGTTGTGCGCGTGCGCAGTGCGAGTTTGGCTGAGTTGCGCATGCGTATTTGCTATCAAAACAATGGCGGTTCGAATATTTCGAAGCGCGAAAATATCAAACTTTGGAGGGATTTTTCTCCCAATTGTGCACCTGTTTCGCTTGGGGAGCAACAGATTCTAATAAAGTAAGTTTTTATCTATTTATTCTTGTGAAAATTACGTAGTTCCACGAGGGGTGCAACGGAATCCGTTTTCTAAGCATCTTTTGGATGCTCATCCCACGGCCTATATGTCACACGAAACTATCCTCGATTTTTCGCTTTTAATGCATTTCTTTCGCGATTAATCGATATCCCCTGCAAGAATGATACCGTATAACTCTTAAAACAACGATGCTTTAATCAAACAGCTTAAATTCGCTCTGAAATCCGTGAGGGAATAACAAAATTCGGCCAAAATATATCCGCGTGCCGGATTTGCTGTGCAAAAAGCGGAAGTCGTTGAACAACTCAAAATACACTCAACCCTGATTGGACAACGAATATCAACAAACATTTCAAATTTTTTTAACAGTACTGTAATAATCTCAATCATACAATCAAAACTATTCACAAACGTTATAAAGTGTAAATATTACTGCATGTAAATATAACTGTAGTACGTTAATATGTATAATAAATTGTATTTCACATTGTGTTTGTTAAAAAAATTTGAAATGTTTGTTGATATTCGTTGTCCAATCAGGGTTGAGTGTATTTTGAGTTGTTCAACGACTTCCGCTTTTTGCACAGCAAATCCGGCACGCGGATATATTTTGGCCGAATTTTGTTATTCCCTCACGGATTTCAGAGCGAATTTAAGCTGTTTGATTAAAGCATCGTTGTTTTGAGAGTTATACGGTATCATTCTTGCAGGGGATATCGATTAATCGCGAAAGAAATGCATTAAAAGCGAAAAATCGAGGATAGTTTCGTGTGACATATGCCAAGTCTGGGCTATTTTGGTCTCAATGTCTCCGTCCTTCCCTCGTTATAAGGAAGACACAGGCGGGCGCGGGCAAATCGAGCCTGGGTCTCCTGTGCTGAGATATTAATAATTCAGGATATCACAAAAACCGACGGAATTCAATAACTGATTTATTATGCACTGTATTTCATTAACGACAACTCAAAAAAAGCAGTGAAAACGATTTAAAATATCACAATAACAGCAGGGCCTCTTTTAAGGATGTGTACCTGGGGGGGGGACATATTTCTCGGGGGACCTGGAGAAGTTCCATGCAGTCGGCAAGTTTGTATTACTGCAGCTACCAGCATATATATGCATGGTTTAACTAATACGTATACGTCATAAGCCAGCAGATCAGGCTCGTAACTCGAATTCTGAGATAACCGAGTCGACCACCGAAGGTGCGAGCCGTCTAGTTTGATGAAAACAGTTTTGGATTACATGAAGCTCAGATAAGCTATTTCCAGCATTTTGAGGTGAGTTCCAATAAGAAATAAACCTTACTGCAATTTCACAGTCTCCCAAATGTAATCCAGTCCCAATAAGGCAACATGATGTGATGATGCGGTAATGAAAATGTGTGTGGTATAGTACTGATCATTCACCACACAAATCATACAGTATACAAATAATGAATGTTTATGAGTGCAATGGTAAAAATATTTTTATGTGGTGAAAGATGGAATGTTCCATTCAACGAGGCGACAGCCGAGTTGAATGGAACATTCCATCTTTCACCGAATGAAAATATTCTTACCATTGCACGAATAAAAACATTCATTATTTGTTTTATATAATACCAAAATAAACTAATATTAAAAGGTTTACTGTAAGCTCGCGCCATTATGACGAGTCGTATTTGCATTAAATTAAATCCCATTTAAGTTCTTTGAATGTTTGCATGGCGACAAAATATAATTGTTTTTGTTTGTGGAAACACCACGTAAATTTATTACTGCAAAGCTTTCGATCCGTAAGCCCGGATCTTCATCAGTGCTAATAATATGAGCATATATATATGAGCACATTTATTTAGCATATATATATATATGAGCACATAAATTTACGTGGTGTTTCCCATTTACTGAGTTTAGAATATCGGGTTAAAATAAACTGCGATCACCGTACGAGAAGCATTTTGACGGATGCAATTTATCGAAAACACACAGAGTGCAATGGAATAAAACGTATAGTACAATTGCACTCGCAAGAGTGCAAAGGAACGTATTCCATTGCACTCTTGGGAAATGGTATTTTCTATTCAATATCACGTGACCATAAACAGCCAATTAAGGTAATTCCGCAGTAATTGTTCCCGAAACGAGAATGTGCTGAAACTTTCCAGGCATGGAGTCTATGATATACTTAAACTAAAATCGCACAAAAAAGTCGGGGTCACCGAACTCGTTAAGAAGATATCACAATCACAATATACCACCTTTACCCCCAATCTGGCGCCATCTTGACGCTCATTACGAGTAACAGCAAAATCACAACAGCCCGATATTTATTGACGTTTTTAGCGCGGATTTTGCTTTAGTAAACCTATCTTGTAATTATTTTTGAAAAAATATTGTGTTTTGGGCAAAATGAAACTACTAACGTGTACAATTCTGATCCATAAATGTCTTTTCCACATTTCTTTACATATCTTTCTTTGAGAACATGCATTGATAAAGGATTTTTTTCAAGGTCCAGAAATGATTTTTCTTTTAATTTCGGATATGAAAAGTAAAATGCATTAAAGAAATAAATTATCAGTTAAAAAACGGGGGTCACCGATCTTTTTAGGGAATTGTGGCATTAAAACGTGAAATACAAGTAAATAAATATACTACATACACAGAGAACCCTAGCTACACTTTTGTATGCCTTTTTTGAAAACATTGATATTAACATAATTCTTTGCACGAATGTAACCAAAGATGTTTTGAAGTAACATAAAATTGTCATAAAATGATTTTTTTTAAACCGTACGTATAATGCATGCAAATATAAGTCATATGATGTGCGCAGAAAAATTGCGCAATGCAAAACTGCGGAATTACCTTAAACGATCAGAATTCAACCCAGCGGGCAAAATGACGTGCTTTAATGACGTTTATTCAACGTTGAATCAACATTGGAAATGAACTTCCAGACGTTGGATAGACGTTGAAAAAGGGTTGACTATGCAAATTGGATCGACGTTACTGTTTCGGCGTTGAAACAACGTCGAAACAGTCGAACGTTGATTCAACGTCTGTTGGCTGCTGTTGAACCAATGTTTTTAAAACAACCTCAGAGCAACGTAGGTATTAGGTTGTCAACGTCGCAACCTTTTTTCTACCAAATTTCAACGTTGAAACAACGTCGTGTGCCCGGTGGGAATAAGGTATTATAATAATAATACTGTATTATGCATGTATTGGGGATACTTGACATCGACGCATTCGTCTTCTCAGTGTCACTGAAGAGCATGATAGGGTGGTCTCTTTGGAATATCTTTGCTCGGAAAAACTAAACTAGAATTTCGCCCTAAAATGCCATTTCATGCCTTGTTCCACGAGCAAATTATTTCAGCCATGGTTTAGGTTTCTGCTGATGTTTAATTTCAGTCTCCAAATTCCTACCCAGTCTTAAAGCTAGGTTGACTCATAGCTAGTTACGGGCATGCAGATGATGGTGAAATTCACAAATGTTAACAACCTAACATCATTTTAATTTCTCACTTTGATATATAATTGCTGGTTAACCAGCTAATGTAGGTAGTCCTTTGGGACCACACTGGGAGGGGGGGGGGGACAAAATTTTCAAAAAGTTTGCTTTTTGCACAAAAAATTCACCAAAACGCAGTTCGTTCATGTTGCTTTTCTTGTTTTTATTCGTGTTTTTAAAACTTCCGCTTTTGCTATAAAATTACATACCGCTGGCTCAACTTACACATAACTGAGTTATCTGCTAACAGATAGCTGTGGTATGTGTTGGTTGCGTGACTATCATATTTAGCGGTAAGTTACTGGTCAATCAGAAGACATATAGTGACTATAATGTATAAAAATATGCTTTACTTGCAATAAATTAAACTGAATTAATTAATTTTCGAGGCGTATTACTCATTAAGTTCATTTCCACGAATTTCGCTGTAGGTGTAAGCAATGAGCCAAAGCTAGCCATCAGCACACTCAATCAGATATTTGACAGTTCACGACATATTTTTAAGCTCGTTTCAAGTAGTTAATGACCGTTATATAAACTCAGCATGCTAACTTTATTCCGACTCTGAAGTGTTTGCCGTTTTCGTCATTCTCAAAAGACATCTAGTGGCATATTTCAAATTCAAAACTTACATTCTTTTCTTTCAATTTCTCAAAATACAACCATGGTAAACAATTCAACACATTTTCCCACACTCCCTAGCGAGATTCTTCTTCCATCGATTGTATTTAAATTCATTGCAATGAGTTGATGTTTGTGATGTTACTCAGAGAATATGCCTGGTCACGGTGGGAATCGAACCTACGACCTTTGGAATACTAGACTTACGCTCTGCCAACTGAGCTACGCGGTCAAGACAGTTCGAGTTTGTGATATTTCGGAACTGAGTCTGGTTCCTTCGATATCAATGTAATTGCTGCCGAAGGCAACACACTATTCTTAACATGAAGTATCGCGTTTACTTGTGTCCAGTCTCTTTGCCCGAGTTATGAATTGTCGAGATCTCGATTTTGTGTCCGTCTGTCTGTAAAGATGTCGTAATTCCGGGGAAATAATTAAGGCTTCAGGAAGATTTTTTAAACGAGGGGGGCGGTCAAACTTTATTTTGTATTGCACACGGATCAAGTTCTACTCAGAGTTAAGCTTATTTACATTTTCACGATGCAAAACATCGCCAATATTTTCAATAATTCAGGTAAGGATAGCTTTATTTCTTTCGGGTAATATACATGAAGTCGAATGCATTTATATTTAGAACACTATGA